ATGTCTATACCTGAATAGATCTCTATTTAAATACATGTATATACCAAATTCATTCATTTATTTACCACATTTTTAATGAGTAAACATGAAGGTCCTTCATGGACCTTGCTTTCTCTCTAAAGATGGTGGATTTTTTTCCAAAGATGCTAACATACCTGATGAGAACTACAAGTTTGTGAGACTTTAGCAATGAAATATGATCTGCAGATTTAGTATTTGTTGAGACTACTTGAAAGATTAGAGGAGATCAGTGGTGTCTGTAAGGCAGGGCAACTTTCCCCAGCTCAGCTGGGTGTGGGAAGACACCCTTCAAATAATGACTCAGTCTCTTGGGACGGAGTATAATAAGTACCATATACAATGACTAATACAATTAATGCTTTAGCTCACCTCATCTACCTCATTATGTTGGTGGTAATGCTTGTTCCTTATAACCGCAGCAGAGGCAGAATAAGGAAAGTTCCTGAAATCATTTTTTTCTACATTAAACTAGATGTTCCACTTAGTAGCACATCTTGCCCAGTCCAACCACAGCCCCTGGACAGTGGAGGCAAGACTATCTGGAGAAGGAAGACCTAAAAAAGGAGAAGAATGAAGATGATTTACATAGCACATACTGTGAATTAGGTTTCATCCTAAAAAGCTTTCATCTATTAACCCATTTATTCCTCTCAACAATATCATCATCTGTAGAGGCTGCTTGTAGGCAACCAACTTGAGCACTGGAAGCAGTAAAGTAGGAGGGCCCACAGCACTCAGCCCACCGGGTTGAATGCAAACATGCTGATCAGGCCACCCACCTCAGAATATCCATAAGCCCTAACTGACCAACGGGCTACTTAGAACTGGCACAGGCACCAGAAAACGAAAATTCCATTCGTTCCCGTACCTCCTCACCTTCCCCCCTTAACTACAGCCCCTCCCTTTTGCCTCCCCCCAGACAGTCTCTCCTCTGCTGTCCTACCCGCTGTTCCCTTGCACTTCCAACTCCTTTGTTCTGCCTCGGGGGAATTCTTTCATGGCCACACTGCACCCCCGACCTCCACCCAAGCAGGTCGCCCCACATCATATCCAATTTGCAAATGAGGAAAATGAGGCACAGACCGGACAAGTGATTTTCCAGTGTCACAGGGCTAGTAAATGCTGGAGCTGGGAAATGAGTCCTAGCTGACAGGTTTCAGAGGCTGTGCTTTTAACTGCTATGTTATTCTTTCTTTTAGAAGGAGTTGACATAGGGCCGGCTCATAAGGATTTAAGGTTTATTTCAGTAGAAGTGGCACAAAGTCTTAGCATAACAAAAGACAGCATATAATTATGTGGGACAGAAAGAAGCAAGAGGTCTGAGGAGACTGGTGAAGGAAGGTGGGCTGGTGAAGAAGCTTCATGGAAATGGTCCTTGCTCTACGTCCTGAAGAAGGAAGGGTAAAGCTGCATTTTGGCCACCTGATTTGGGGAATGTGTTCTGGATGCATCGAAGGCATTTACCTCCCCTTATGCGGAGTACAGAGTGCCTCTGCTTTATCATTTCATTAAAGTAAAATTTTCATGCAAATAAAAATTTGAAATGTCATTTGATATGCAAAAGAACTCCAAGAGGTATTATCTCTGTGTTTTCCAGATGAGAAAAAAAAAAAAAAAGGCTTCCCTTCGTTTCCAGAAGTACCAAGGTTGTGGCCTGAGTCTGGGTCAGGTCATGTCCTGGGGTGGGAGGGGGGGGAGGGGGCAATGATGCAAGTTTGGGAAGCTGTTATATAGGTCCTGACTTTTCTAAGAATGTGAGAGATTCTCACCCAAAGTTGGTGTCTGCTTAAGTTTTTCTTATATAAGTAAAAAGAATTAGCTTTACATAGTCACGGGTTTAATTCCTTTATTTATAGAAACTACTGGATTGTGTTTGATGTTAGGTGTCCAGGTAGGTAAAAGACTGGTTTCCCAGGTGATAGCACTTAACAAACTGCCTCAGAATTCTATGCCACTAAAAATCTGCCGCAGTAGTGATTAACTGGGGGACGGGCAGTTTTATTTAATGTAAGAACACAGGCTACGGAGTTAAACTGTTGGGCTGGAATCCTGGCCTTGTCACTCACTACCTGTGTGATGTTGGACACATTACTTCCCCTCTCTGTGCCTCAGTTTTCTCATTTGTAAAATGTGGATAATTACAGTATAATTTTAACGGTGTGTATGTGTGTGCATGTGTGTGCAGAATGATTCAATGAGCTGAAGAGTTTGAGCATACAGTAATGACACAGATGTGTTAAGTGTTCTATCTACCACCATCTCCCCCCTACCCCTGCAACTAAAATGTCAGATCCAGGGGCAGAAATTTTTGTCTCTTTTGTTCACTGCTGTATTCCAGGCCCCTTGCACAGTGTCTACACATAGTAGTTGCTCAGTAAATATCTGTTGATTAGAAGGGTCACTTTTCAACATTTTTGCAGCAAATGAATTGGGTAATCAAACAGTTTATAGTTTTCCAAAAACTGTATCTACTATAAAACGTGAGAAAAAGAGTAAAATAAAAATCCAATTCCTAGATATTTTTAATTTACAAGAAAATTTATATCACAACTAATAAGACAATGAAGAGAGGACATTTTTCTACGATAGGAGTCTGGATTTTGTTGCTGGAAATGCTGTCGTCTGAACAATTCACATATGTATGAGAGAAAAGCAAAAATAAAGAAAAAGAGTAAAAACCTAAGTAACAGACAAATGGATGAAGAAGGAATGCATTTGCCTTCCTGACTATTTATCCCCATCTTAAGTCCTGCTGCATTCAGGACTGAAGTGCTCAGGTCATTGACTCCTAAGTAACAGTGAGTCAACGTATTTGCATAAACACTGCAGTGTGTTTGTACCACATTTTCCATTGTTTTCTTTCAAGTATAAATTTCATTGAAATGAACTGTACTCATTAGCGGAGACTGTGCAATCAACTTTGTCCCTAGGGAATTCTGAGACAAACTACAGTCTCCAGATCAGTAGACAATTTAGAGTACATCTATCAACCTTTCACAAAAACTACTGGGACATGAAGCTGAGGTGGGGGGGGGCGGGGGGTTGGGGGAGAAATGCCAAAGAAAAACTCCAGCTCCTAGTGGTTAATCCAATAATATTATGGTACAAAATGACCCTTTATCATTTCAGCAGCAAGTGATTTTCTCTTCCAACCTGCTGGAAACTTTCCGTTCAGGGAGAGGCAGTAGAGATATAGGAGAATGTGTGATACCCACAGTGTTTCTTGGCCAGGAAGGAATTTGTTTATCATCTTTCAATGTTACTGAGTTATAACAAGGTCGCACAAGAAGACAAAAAGAGATTGAAGACTACAAAAACAAACACAAACATACCTTGTACTGTTTTTTTTTTTTGTCAAAAATGCATACCCTAAGTAAAAACTGAAATGCATCTTCACTTCAGCCAGAACTCAGGCTCTTGGCTAACTGAAGTAAAATTGTCATCATTTGACATGGCCCTTCACTCTTACAGCCTGTTTCAGGGTGAGAACATTATTAGGGCCATCTTTAAGCATATGAAGAGTGTGGGGTGCTTTCTGCAGTTTTGTGTTTTAGAAGCAGAGGAGGAAGCCTGGAGAAGGGCAAAATTACTGTAACAGACACAAATCAAACTTAATCACCCACTCATATAATGTGAAAGCCTTTCTGATCTTTTAAGCTCGCCTGTAATTTATCCTTGGAGTCTCTGTCTATGAAAGTGAAAAGTTGAGAAGGAACCTGATAGCAGCAGCCTATTAAGGTCAGTAACTGCGGAAAGGCTTCATGGAAACCAGCGAAAGCGTCTGCTAAAGAGAAAAGCATAAGGGCTCATGTTCCTGCACAAAGACTGGAACGACCTGGTCCTAATACAGTGTCACAATTAATGTTCTTTTTAAGCTTCAGGTTAAGCCTTTAAGGTTCTTGGAGTACAACATGGTTTCCTTCATAAAAAGTCTGCCAGATCTGAATATATGCAGCTGTGTTTTAGTTCAGAAGAATCAACAGGGAATCAACAAGGATGACAAAGGTAATTTCGAGCCCTTAGTTGATGAGACTGAGTGCTGCATGTCACATAAATTAGCTGTGAAAAGAAATGGTGGCCTTTGTGGAACCTTTAGTTTTCTCAATGAATCCTGATTTTTAAAATTTTAATTAATTATCGATTGATTGATTTTTAAAAGGAATCTCTACACCCAACATGGAACTCGAACGTACAACCCTGAGATCAAGAGCCAAATGTTCGGGGTGCCTGGGTGGCTCAGTCATTTAGCGTCTGCCTTCAGCTCGGGTCATGATCCCAGGGTCCCGGGATCGAGCCCCACATCGGGCTCCCTGCTCAGCGGGAAGCCTGCTTCTCCCTCTCCCACTTCCCCTGCTTGTGTTCCCTCTCTCCTGTCTCTCTGTCAAATAAACCAATAAAATCTTAAAAAAAAAAAAGTCAGCCAGGTGCACCCCAGTGATTCCTAATTTAAACTGGAACAGTGAAACAACTTGACTCGGGGTCTGAAGACTTACATTTGAACTCAGATTTTCTCATTTTCTAGCTGACAAACTGTGGAAAAGTTACCTTATTTCTCTAAGCTTCAGTTTTCCTCATCTGTAAAATGGGATAGCACAGTTGTGAGAATTAAATGAAATAAAGTATTAAAACCCATCCCCCATGTAGTAGGTACTCAAGATGTTTATTTTTTTATTTTTTATTTTTAAAAAAGATTTTATTTATTTATTTGACAGAGAGAGACACAGTGAGAGAGGGAACACAAGCAGGGGGAGTGGAAGAGGGAGAAGCAGACTTCCCGCGGAGCAGGCAGCCCCACACAGGGCTCGATCCCAGGACCCTGGGATCATGACCTGAGCTGAAGGCAGACACTTAACGACTGAGCCACCCAGGCGCCTTGGTACTCAAGATTTTAAAAAGACAAATCCCAAATAACAATTCTGGAAGCTAGCTTTATTGCACATTATAGATTTATCTGTATTTGTGAAATGTCTTTTTTTTTTTTTAACAGTCCATAAGATGAGTCTTTTTGGAGGGGGCGGAGGGAGGGCTAAATTCTGAACAATGTGAGCATGAAATCATAGCATCCCAAACTTGGGAGATTGTTGTGAAGACAGAGGAGAGACTTCAGAGCTGGGAAGATCTTCCCCAAAGGTCTGGAGTTATTCCAAAAGTATTTCCCGTGTAATTTGAAATTCAATAGGAAACCAAGTTTTATTTTATGTTCAACTCTATGCAATTGCCTCTGTTCTGGAGAATGAGAATGAGCTGTAGCAGAATGAGTACAAGTAGAACTGAAACAAAGTAATTTGAAAAACAGTGTCAAGGGCTAAATTTCATTTCATTTCATAATTTTATTTAAATTTAGAACAAATTTGGCCTGAACTTGAAATGTCATGATTTTAGCAGTTTCTCATTCTTTTAGATTCTCTGTTTATGCTTACCTTTTTATTTGAAAGGTAGGGCTTTAAAACATCTTACCATATTCCCGATAGAAAAAAGGGAGTGGATTGTTACCTTAGAATAATTGACTGGTTCTATACCTTCAGTTATGAGGCACATTTTATAATTATACATAGTATCAATATATTCACTCCCATTTTTTTCGACTCATAGTTTTTTTCTTTATCTTACTTAATACCCTACTTGCTTAAGTAAATACTTCAAAAAATACTTACTATGTCTATATGTTAGGACAATTCAAATAAAAACATCTTATTTGGGTATTGTCACTCTTGTGCGTTAAAACAGGAAAAGGATCCAAGAATATAAAATATCTCACATAAAGTTTCTTGAATGGTTATTCTCTCCCATTCTCACTTTAAGGGACAGAAGTCCAATTTATGACTATAGTAACAAGTTAAACAAGAATGTGGCAATAGGTATAAATTATGTTAAACTGGTTTTAAAGAAAATAAACTGTTCCTTCCCGTGAACCTTCACCCATTTGAAGCTTTGAAATATTTAGATAAACTTTTCTCTCTCATTTTCATCTGCCTTTTTAGTCTGACTTTGAGCCAGAACTTGAAGTAGACATACTGGGCTCTTGCGAAAAAGCTTGTTCCCACAAGATTGCCAGCCAAAATTTGCAGACTCAAGATGTTTGGAGAGTTTGGATAATCATCACAATTTTTGGACGCCTATCTGAGGTAAACATAAATGCCAAACCTTGAAGGTCTCATTATTAGTGTAAGTATGATCCAATATGAGGTATTTCTGTTCTTGGCTTGTTGATATAAGATAATTATAGGGTTTCTTAATTGAAATTTAATTAGAAATACAAAGTGATACATGTTAGTTTATAAAGCATCACAGTGAAACAATTTGCTCCAGTATACCAGATGAACAGAAAACAAATTAACACGTTTCTTAGAACTAAGCGACAATTATGTACAGTAATAACACCACTCCAATCTTTGGAAAGATTTTATTATGTATTGATTGACTAAAACATTTGTTTGTTGTCACAATTTACACTTTAAAGGGCTATAAGTGAGGCCATTTATTTTTGTACCTAAAATGTTCCTTCAGACCTACAATCTCCTCCTAAACACCATAACAAACATCCCAAAGGCATATCCTTTTAAGAAATGTGTCTGTAAATGTTAAAGTATAGGAAACTTTTTTCAATACTAAATATATTTTTTTAAAGATTTATTATTTATTTTAGAGAGGGAGAGAGAGCCTGCACATGAGCGGGGGAGGGGGAAAATGCTCTGTGAAGCATCAGAAATCAGGTGTCTTCTGTGAAAGCCCCGAGCTGGAGAGAGTCTTAAGTCCGAGGTAATTCAATTATTAAAGCTAATGCTCAAAGGAAGAGGAGCAGAAAGCTTCTAACTTTAAGAAAAGGTTCAGGACAGTTCTACTTAACTCTCTTTTCTATTAAGACAAGTAAACGGTGATCGACAAGTTACAATTTCAGTGAAGCCTCTAACTGGCATGTTGGTGAGTAAGAGTTCTTTAAATCTTGCTGTAAATTACACACCATGCTGCTTATGTGATTATTTATGCGATGATGTAGTAGTTGTATTTTTTTTTTTTAAAGATTTTATTTATTTATTTGACAGAGAGAGACACAACGAGAGAGGGAACAAAGCAGGGGCAGTGGGAGAGGGAGAAGCAGGCTCCCCGCAGAGCAGGGAGCCTGATGCGGGGCTCCATCCCAGGACCCTGGGACCATGACCTGAGCCCAAGGCAGATGCTTAATGACTGAGCCACCCAGGAGCCCCTGTAGTAGTTGTATTTTTATGTAGAAAGAATATGAGCCTGGATAGTGTACTGAATTCCTGCTTTTACTTAGTTACCTCCTGAAAGACTAATTTTTGGACATTTGACATTCCTATGTTCGTTCACCTTCTTTTGTTTTAAGAATAATGTCTAAAAGTTTTGACCTTTATTTTGAAGATTTTTGATATGGTTATCATAAGGGAAGATTATAATTTGAAGAGGTGACTATAATTCACTTTGTTTGCCTAAACTTGCTGAGTTTCTCAATAGGAGAGCAATTGGTATTCAGATGGGTTAATTCTCATTGTGCTAGCCAGTATTGCAAGATGCTTAACATCCCATCTCATTAAATGCCACATTTTCCACCCATTGTGATAATGTGCAGTATGATGACACCATACATTTCCAACTGTTCTTGAAGAGTAATATATGCATACACACTCCAGCACCTGCTCCCCCCACCCCAATCTCCCTGCCACCACCACGTAAAAACCACTGGCATAGGATAGGTTTAATTCTTCTAATCTCAATTATTATAGACAATTAATATCAGCTCTGATCGTAGAGGAAAACCCAATTAAAAATCAAGAAATCTGGATTCTAGTTTTAATACTGAATCTTTTGGAAAATCATTGAATTCCTTGAACCTCAGTTTGCCTATCTCTTAAATGGTAATGAACTTTCCTATTTTAACAAATTCTTGTAAAAAGCAAGAGATCTTATGTACATTAAAACACTTTTAAAAGTATAAAAATCTATATAGGGAAATATGTGAATAATCCTCAGCAGTCATTATCTTTGGGTAATAAACTTACATAATTAACATATAATGTTTTAGACATTGTTTTAGACATTGCTCTGGGAATGTACAGAATTAAAAGGAGAATAAAGCATATGTCATGTGTGTATCTCTTACACTACCAAGGGGGAAGATAGAATGTATATGGTTAAAAAGATGATAATACAAAGGTAGAGCCAGACATATGGTTTAGCAATATGTACTAGAGAAGTTTAGGACAAAACATGTTCAGTGAAAGATGTAAAAAGCTGAAAATTGTGAAGGAACTACCTCCCCTATTAAAACAATGGAGATGTATGATCTCTTTCATCATAATATACATTAGGAAAGTATCCATATTCTCCATATGGATATTTGTATAGGTTGTAGATCTTGAGGATATAAATGATTAAAACTTTCTTCTAAGGGAAATACTACTAGATAACTAATTTGCCTGTCAACTTTAATAAAACAGAGCAGGAATGGCTGAAGAGAGGAAATATGTTAGTCTTAAACACATAGGGCAACAGATAAAATGCCATCTGACTGACTTTTAGACCATCTTGTTGCTCTTGGTGTCCTTGTATTCTCTGTCCTTCCTGTGGCTCTAGTCTTGCTTTGGCTTTGATCTCTGCCCTGGAATCAGTCCCAGCCTTCTCCTTGGACTTAGCATTCCTAGATATGTTGTTTGACTTTAGCTTGGAATCCTGGAAACCCATCTCTGAGGGGTTGACTCTTTGACTTCAGGTGTGCTCTTGAAATCTAGTTAATATGCACCCTTGTCTTGCTAAGATGTTAAAATGGGTAAAGAGTTACCCATATTGGGACAACCTGATGAAGCATTTAATTTACGAGATTATTTGACTATTCAAATACTTATTAACCTGAAATTTCTCAAATGACATTGTCAATTGCCAAAACTTGCATTTCTACTCTTCCTTCTTTATTCTTTGATGTGGCAAACCCTTCCCCTCTTTGTTGAAAATGTCCTTCTTTACCTGTGACATTAAAGTCTCCAGATTCTTCTTTCTTTCTGAATGCTCCTTCTCAGGTGGCACTGGCTTTTTTCCCTCAGCTACCCTAAGTGCAAGGCTTCCCACAAGGCTCTATCATCAGTCTTTGTCTGGTAAAATTCTTAGCCCAAATGACTAAATGAATGACGATTCAGTTAGGAAAGACAAAGGAGGAAGGGATTTATATTGGATATTAAGGAAAAGTTGATCATATGTTTGAGTTTGAGCTATATAAAAGGTCTTGCCTGTAGTCTGAAATGGAGGCTAGAGCTAGGGAGGAATGTCAGGTGTGGAGATAGCTGGGCCATGGGATACGGGCTAAGAATTTTAAGAATCATCTTCATCGGTTCTTTCTTCTTTCTTCTTAATTTCAATAACTGATCAAATCATTAGAAATATCTTCAAAATGCTCCTTGAATCTGGCCTCTGGTTTCTATTGTTGTAGCTTTTTTCTCCCTCAGTTTCTTGCTGGCAACTATCATAACAACCATCTAATTGAATTAATAGCCTCTAGTCTCTTTCCCTAACAATTTTATTCCCTGCTACAGAGTTAATATTTTCTTTTAAATTAATTTAATTATGAAAGTAAGAAAAGATAATTCTAAAAATTAAAACAACAGCGGGGTAGAAAGGAAAAAGTGAGTCTTTCCTCTCTACTTCCCTCAACTCCCAAAGGTTTGATGTATATTCTTCCAGACATCATTCTAAAACATATGCACACTAATAGGATTTATGTTATTGACCTCAAGGGTTCAGTGCCTCTGGTGAAATGTCAGGTGTTGGTCAGATTTTTCACTGTGGGTAATCTATTTTGATTCTTTAGAAGCTTTTAGAATTTTTTCTTTCATTTCGAGATTTCATCAAGAGTTCTGTAAGTCTTTTAACATATATTCTACCCAATGCTTCCTTGATGTGTCTTCCAACGTAAAGATGCCTGTATTTCTTCAGCTAGGACTAATTTTTCCCTCTTATTTCCTTTGATAATTTCCTTCCCCTCCATTATCTCTTTCTCTTGATGGGAATTCTACTGGGGAGACATTGGCCTTGTGAGTCTCCCTCCAGTCTCTACCCTTTCTCTCATATTTATAATCTCTTTTTTTGTGTGTGTGATCTGAATTCTAAGAAACTTTGTAACTTTTCCTTCTATATAATTAGTCCTATCTTTTGATTTTTCAGGGTATCCACTGAAGTTTTAATTTATTTTATTTTATTTTATTTTATCTTTATCTATCTATCTATCTAAAGATTTTATTTTTAAGTAATCTCTACATCAAAT